GGCTTTGGGTAGGGCTGCAGGACCTGGGTCCAGAGGGGAAATGCAGGGCACCGAGCCTGCACCCAGCTGAGCCTGGCCCCGCTCACCCCACGGCCCTCAGACCCCATGCTGGAGCAGCAGTGCTTGCCCCTGCGTCCCCGTTAGCAGCTTGATGCTGCCACTTCATGGGAAATTGTTGATGTGATTTTTTAGTATTCTTCTTGCAGTTTAATTGCATAGAAACAAAAAAGAGCTTAACAGCTGCCAGCCTGTTTCTGCTTAAGTTAGAGCTATTGAAGTTCTTCAGCATTTCAGCTAAATGAATTAATAACCAATTTTCTAATTAGCTAGCCTCTGTCTTTTAAAATTTCATGTGCCATGCTACGATCAATACACATACTAGAGAAATAATAGCGTGGCTATCATAAAAAAGAGTTGATGTAATGTATGGGAGTTCTGTTAAGTGGTGCTGGGCTCTCAGATGCACAGGCACTAGTTTCTGACTTTGCACCTTTTTTATGATGGATATATAGTAAGTATATATTAACAGAAAGAGCATATATTTAGAGATGATGATTACTTGCTGGGTACCAAGCCAACGGAGAATAGCCGTGTGGGTAAATGCAACACCAGTGTGTACACGGGCAGGTATCCTTAGTGACTCTATGCACTTAATAAGGAGCAGATGACCCTGCTCCCATCAATGGACACAGCAAAACAAATAATTGAACATATTAATCCATAAGAACTGTCAGTACACATTGTTTATAAAGAAAAATCACCTCCTGATCATTGATCAGCCGGACATGGGATGCCACGTGCTGTACAGATGCATCTCTGGTGGGGAGAGGGCAGTGGCATCCGGCGTGCCCACAGCTCCAGCCCTGTCACAGAGCTTGGACTGGCCTTGTCCCAGCCTGGGCAGGACAGCAGAGCCCGACCCCGGCCAGACCCCGGCAGGACCAGGGCAGGAATGTCTGGATGTTATTGGGCTGGCAGCACCTCCTCTTCCAGCAAACCTAGCCCTGAGGAGAACATCTTAACACAGACCTTCCACACGTCAAAGCAACTTGAGCTTCTGCATGACTGTCTTCTGTGCTAAAAAAACAAAAGCAAAACTGTAGCTTTCTTCCTGATTTATACAAAGAGCCCAGAGTCACCTTCCTGGCAGTTACAGAATTGCTGCCAACATCTGCTGACGGGAAAAGCAGACCTTGCTTTGATAATGCTGTGACAGAACCATGTCCTCGTGCCTCTGCTGTGGCAGCTGTGCCTGCCTCGGAGCATCCCGTGCCCATGCCTGCCTCGGAGCATCCCATGCCTACCCACGGGCAGGAGTGAGCTGGGGTGAGGGTCAGGCAGGGTCAGCTGCACTTGCTCCCCCAAGGAGCCTTGCCATCCCATGTGCTCTCCGAAGGGGCAGAGATGTGTTTTCTAATACCATTGAAAGTAGACTCTGGCTTACCATTTCAGATTCAAACAGGCCTAATTAAATAGATACTTCCAAATTACCAACGCGGATGCTCCCAGGGAAGCTGCCTGTCTTCATCTGCCCTTCTGCACACAACAGCTGCTGGGGGAGGCTGAGCTGCCAGCGCTACGTGAGCTGAGTATCGCACAAGCTATTTTCTGGAAAGTGGCTAGCAGGTGGAGGTTTATTTGTCTTCTGCCTTCTCCTTCCTTCCTGCTCTGCCTTCTGTACAGGGCCTAAACAAGCACCCGGCAGCCCTTTCCCTCCACCTTCCCGTTCACAGCTGAGATGTTGGTGCCGAATCGGCACTTGCACAACTGGGGGTTGCTGCCATCTCACCATCCAGCACGTACAGCCATCACGTGGAGGAAAAAGGGATGGCTGGTGTCATGAAACTGCCCCGTGACATCAAAAGGTGAAGAAAGATGTTTCCGAACCCTGTGAAGATGATGGAAATCACTAGAAGAGAAACACCACTACCAAGAAGGAAGGGCATGCGGCAAACTGCTCGCAACAGGCATTGCCTCTGACGGGCCTGGGGTGGGGGCACGGGGAGCCACGGTGAGCCTCTTGCCAAGGAGCCGCATACAGAAACCCAGGAGCACTGCATGGATTGCAAATTGAACCGAGTGTGGTATTGCAGCATTAACAATATTCACCACTTTATTACACTAATCTCATGAATAACTCTGCTAGGTGAACAGGTGACCAGAAGGTGCAACGAATTGTGTTGTGGGGCGATAGCCATTGCATTTGGTTTGGCAGATTCCTACGTGAGACACACATAAGAAACTAGGTTAAACAGAAAGTGGGTTTGTGTTGAAAATGCAAAATTTCTCTTTTCACATCCTCTCTCAAGCCCAAGACGGATGGCAGCAGTGAAAGCAAATATAGATAGTCAGATGTAGGAGCTGACAACCACAAATCTCTAATGCAGGAAAAAAATGAAATACAAACAGCGTTTCCAGGCAGAGCGTACATGACCGTTCCACTTCTGCTATGGGATCATGTACATCTTTAAAAAAACAAAAAACACCAGCTCCTCTTGTGCCCCACATAAGCCCATTCACAAGAAAAAGAAGCCACTGAGCTGATACAGGAAAGCCCCAAATAGCTACGGTTTTAGAAAACAAACATTTATTTGAAAAGTCCTGTTCTGTCCACTGCAAAAGGCAAAGGTGAGTCTACTGAAGGTGTTTCAGCTTAATATTTATTGCTGTATGGTGCTTTCCTGGAAGAAAATTCCTCTTTAATGTGTTAGACTCCAACTTTAAAAAGGGAATATTTGTCTCGCTTTTGGAAATTCCGGTCTTCGTTTCATTTGTATTGGGCTGAACGTATGCAATGTCACACCCAGCTGAATTATTGCTTCTTGGTGCTGTGTACAATGGTCCTTGAAAAACAGGAGGTATTTATAATGGAAACTCAAGCGCAGCCTTATCTGTCCCGGGCCATGCTGCCATAACACACATGATGGATCTTTTTTCCACCACTGACAGAGTGATTTAGTGATTTATGTGTAGAGACTTGTTACAAAGCAAACAGAGGGAAGAAAACAAGGATTTACGCACCTTTCTCTCCAGTCAAAACTTTGGTTAGCACCCTCTGGACATCCCTCTCCCCGCCGGCTCAGCCTGGCTGCTGTTTCCAGCCCCTGCAAAGCTGCGCTGAGCTGGAGAGCGGTGGCTTTAGCCAGCAGCATTGCTGGAGGGGGACGGGACCATCCCTCCCATGGCAAACTTCTCGGGGAGCGGTGCAGGAGGCACTCATGCCATGCGACAGCAAAATCCTTCCCGTAGCATCACCGGGATCAGCAGCAGCAGCATCACCCTGAGCTCAGAGGGATCCCCATGGGTGCCCCGAGGGTGCCTGGGCGTAGCACCCAGCATGTGTCGTGGCCACCCGCCACCCGAGGGGAACGCTGGCACGGGTATTTGTGTGAGATACTCGCAGGGGAAAGCAGCTACTTTATCCCTCAAATTAAGCCAAATGAGTACTTTTGCTCACAGACTTTTAGGGTCTCACTGTTAACAGGAAAAAGGCAGATAGAGTGGCTTCATGGACATTAAAGAGAAAGCATATAAACCAAAATACTCAATACAAAGGAGGCACTTTTTTTTTTTTCTTTAACAGGATGCACAGTTTATTATCAGGCAGGAAGGTATCAGTGAAACATCTAAGCATATTGCAGATGAACAACACATCAGAAAGCAGTCCTTTCTGCACACCTCGGGGAGCGGCGAGCCCCTGGGCAGTGCTCACCTTGTGCTTCGCTGGGGGCTTCTCCATCACCTGCTGGAACTCAGGCAGAGGAGGGGGCTGCCTGCAGCCTGCCCACGCTGCTGCCCACGCTCCATCTGGCGCACCCCGGCGCTCTCGGCAGGTCCTTCCCGAGCCCAAGCTCGTACAAGCATATTACTTCATCGATCTCTTCACCCTTTATATTTGAAGTCAGGTCAGTCAATTGGAGAGTAAGTTCTGCTGCTGCAACTGTTCTGCAGGGCTGTTAGGCAGAGAACTGGCTCCTCGTTAGCTCCTGTTTCATTATCGGAACTGCTAATGAAGTTCTAACTGCGAGGTCCAAATTCTGCTTCAAGCTATACATTCTGCTCGCACTTATAGATAATTACATTAAAGTAAATCTATACTTTGAAAAGTGACTGCAAAAATGCCACTATAAGCTTGCATAGCTGTCCCAGTCATGTACAAAGGCAAATCTCAGTTAAGAACTAAGATTTTCTTATTTTTACTTCTGCAAGCTGAATCCAGCTTTAATATCAAAGTGTGAAAGAACCCGTCTGCACACACGCACACACACATCTTCGCTGTCTCAATGCTTCCACGAAATGCTTGTAAGACCAGCAGCCAAACGTTCCAGCTTTCTGCACTCCTCGCACTCATCACAAACAAAAAAAGCAACCTGGCCACGGCTTCCCTTCTGGCAACGCCAACACAACGTTCCGCCCAGCCATTTGCATACCCTACTTTTTTGCCACATCCGGGATGTCAACCCTCACCAAATCAGCTGGAAATCTAAATTGTCCCAGTTATTTATTTGAAAGGTAAACCTCCCAGGAGACGCAGAGTTTGCAAACGCTTCTACAAAGAAGATTCAACCTTGATCCCTGGATTGTGTTGACCATGTGAATTAGTGCCCCTGGCACATTTTATCCAAGCCTAGGTCCAGTCCAGCATCAAGTTCTGGCTCACAAAGAAGCCATCTGAGAGCAGCCTATTTGCTCTCTAAGAACCACCATGATGAGCTTTTATTTACAATATTAATAGACCATAGCATATCCTGCTATGAGAGCATGGTTTCCTGCTGTACTGTTGTGAGCGAGCATCACTTCTGGTTTGCTGGACTCAGATTAGCAGAAGGAGATCTCCTGTACAATAAGGTAACAAGTGCATTTAGAGGAACACAATCAGCTCACGCATATTCTATAGCACAAATAAAGTTATCTAAAAAATGGCACTGTACATTGGCAAATGCTCTCCCTCCGAGATTTTCCTCCCCCCATCTCCCACTACGAGACGTCTCCTTATTCGTTCATTTGCTGGTGGTTGTCAACCTGCTCAAGAGCTGCCTTATTTTTGCCATCAGCATCTCTCTGAAGTGGTCACCCATTAAGAAATAAAAAACAGGATTAATGGCGCTATTTAAAAACGCAATGGGTCTCGTGATGGTGTAAATGGCGCTGATGATGTTCTGCGTACACTTAGATACATTCAAGGCTGGTATTCGGGAAGCGAGTCGGACATTGCGCATTATGTGATAGGGAGTAAAGAGCAATGAGAAGATAACCACTGTGAGGACGACTAAAGTAAAAGGTTTTTCCAGTGTCAGGAGGGAACTGAGTTGCTCACTCCTGTTTTTAAGAAAAAGAACCATCTTCACGTAGAAACAGCACATGATCACAAGAGGGATAAGGAACCCAAAGACAGTCAGAAACATGCTATAGATGAGGTTTTCCGCAGGGTCTCCAGAGCTCGCATAATCAAGACACTTGTAATTATTGGCAGGTGATATAGGCTCCAGGAAATACATCAATGGCAGCAGTTCCAGTATCACCCCAGTCCATATGGCGACAGACACAATAACGGCCGTTCTCCTCTTCTGCAGAAAATGGTCTCTGAAAGGATATTTTATGAGCATGTATCGGTCAATACTGATAACGGTGAGGAAAAGGATGCTGCTGTACAGGTTTGCATGCAACAGGAATCTATTGCTGTGGCAGAAGATGCTCTCCTTTGCCCATTGACCTCTGGAGTAGCTGTTCACAAGTACTGGAAGAGTACACAGAAATAATAAATCTGATAATGATAAATTGAACAGGTAGATGTTGCCGCTTTTCCAGTTTTTCAGGCAGAAAATATAGCCAAACACAACAATGGTGTTTCCAGTGAAGCCTAAAATGAACTCAAGGCTGTACATGGTGGAAAGATAATACTTTTCTAGGGCACCCTTCATCAGCGAACAGTCATCTGTCTCGTTCACAGCCTGGAAAGTCAAAAGAAAAAAAAATAAACACCAAAAAGTAGTAAAAGATAATTGCATGGCTATTTTTATATTGTTGCTGCAACAGGTGAATATAGCATGCTATTTCCTTACAGCCTATATGGTAAGTAGAGACTTGAACTCGAAGAATATCCCTTATGCACACAAGATTTCTACTTTCAGCTATTGACCAGAGTTACCGAGCAAGACAAAAACGTGTGTGAGCAAAAACCTGTGTGAGGAGTTTGAAGTAAGAGCATCATCTGAAGGCATCTGCCACAACGTGCCAACTGCCACTTGGCCAAACCCACGGCAGTAGCAGAGGCTGGAAAAGTGAAACTGGCCTGTCACCACTTTGTCACAGCCCTTGCTGGAAGTCATCTGCCTCCCTGTTGCCCAACCCCTGTCCCGTGGTCCCCTCACTCATCACTAAAGCAGAAGTCTGCTGTCAAGATTGATGAAGGATGAACTCGTTAGCAGCAATACGGCCACGCTCTGACAGCGTTACTCAGAATTCATTAAGAAGTCAGGAGAGAATGTGTTTATTAAATTAATCGAACCATTCGCCATGCACTTTGTACGGTTTTCCTGGTAACTCGGTACCAGAATTGCAGGGAACGCACTGTGCGGAGGATGTGCGTCTCCTGTGCATAGTGGCAGGCGCAGGTCTCCCGAGCCATTCCTGCAGGCACGGGGCGTTTCTGCTCCTGGGGTTTTAAAAGTCTCTTCTGTTTTCTACAAAAAGCCCTTTCAAGAAGGGAAGGTTCAGTTATGACTGAGTCCTTGTTGATATGAAAGCGACTGCACTCAAGGGGAAAGCACAGTCAAGATCAGGATAAAGCGCCTTCGAAGCCAAATTCACAAACTTTAAGTCACTTTTATCATTAACTTCCTTTGAAGTAAGAACACTGTGCATGATTTACTCAGCCACAGCATTTATCCTGCTAAGCCCACATCCTGTGTACAACGGAGCGCCCCAAGCCCAGCCTCACGGAGCAGCCGGAGAAGCTGTTCCCTGCCGGGACAACGCTGAGCACCGGGCTGGCAAACGCCTGGCTGTTTGCAGCCGGGAGAGCTCCCAGCAGGGCTGCCAGCACCACTGCCACCCCTCCTGCACCACTATTTCATTTTCTCTTTGGCTCCAGACAAAATGCTTCTCCTTTCGGCTTGGAAGTGAGTAGCACAATCAGTATTCTTTAAGGAGCAAAGCTTTCTAGGAAGCTGCACCAAATGTGAGTTTGCCTGAGGACGAATTTTGCTTTCTTTCTAAACGCTGGTTTAAAAAATGCTGTCATGCTACAGGGAAAGAAATAGAGTAGGATCTCAAGTGCTCGCTCCTCTCCCTCCTCAGGCAAAGACACCTGCACCCGCCTGCAGGGGAACTGCAAGATAAAGAAAGCTTTTAGCAAGACACTTCGGTTAAAATATTAGCAAAACAATTAGAAAGCAGGGGAAAACAAAATGTTAGAAAAATAAGATATAGATTAAAACTGAAATGAAGCTAAGTCTAAGCTCTGAAAGAGCAGCAATGTGACTGCCACAAAATCTGCTAAAGACAGTCACCACAAATTGTGCAACTCTTTTAAGTATTTTCAAAGTTGTTCTGGTGTCTAGAATTTGTTAATAGGTCTCTTCTTTCAAAGCACTGTATTTTATTTTAAAGGTAGATCAGACAGAATAAAGTACAGCATATACAAAACTTCATAAAGTTACGTACAGCAAATATCTACACTTATACTGTGTACTGCAGGAGACAAAAATTATATAGCCGTGAACGCTCACTCCGGTCAGAATAACTTCACATGGAGCACCTAGTCTAACCCTGGCTGTTCAGGCTCTTGAGAAGAAGCTCAACACTTTAGTGAGATTTTAATTCTAGAAAACACTGCACTAACATTAGCACTTTAAATACAAATAATAATTTTAAAATTACTGTATTGACAAATACATTGCTTTAGGTAGTTGCTAGAAAAAGACTGATTAATCAATTTTAAAGTAAGCAGCTCGGGTAAAACAATTAAAGGGTTCGTTCAGAAATGGTCTCGCTAGAGGAATAGCGGAGCCTTCTCGGGAAGCCGCAGCCTGACAGCTGGCTCCTGGGGCACAAGGACACCTTACCATCCTCAGGGCTGGGCGCTGCCTCTCCTCACTCCTGGACCACGCCTTGGCCAGAACTTTGGGATCCCGGGAGCGCAGCACAACGTCGCTGTTTAACCTGGTTTGCATATGATTCAATCATTAATGAGTCAAGGCAAAGGAGCGATTTGTTTGGCTGAGCAGGACACGGGGGCAGTTTTCGTGGGAGGAAAGTACTGCAAAATGTGTGCTAAGCCAAAGAGAGCGAACAAACACTTCCCCTTTGCGGAGACCTGTTTGGAAACCACTCGGGGAGGACGGGCGGGCAGCAGCTCTGCCCCGCGCCGCGGGCAGCCTGCGGCGTGCTGAGAGCCCCTGCCGCACGCGGGGCTCTGGTACAGGATTGCACGTGAAAAGCTCCCGTTTGGACGATGTGCAGATCTCACAGCGAGCCGAGGGGACGGCAGTCGGAGGTCCCCAGCTCCTGCCCTGCCTGGCCAGTGCCGTGCAAAGCACTTACCTTCTGCGGGCTGCAGCGGTTGTCGAGGTGGAGAGCCTGGCGCTGCTTCTCGGAGGCGTGAGGAGGGAGAGCGCGTTGCTCTTCATCCCACGTTTTGAGAGATCCCCAGAGGAGTCAGGAGGGCAAAGCCTGGTGGCTTGCGTCCCGATTACATCCAGTCTTCTTCAACCACAGAACAGTCTCACCTGTTACACTCGGAGATCAATGCAACAGATGCAGCAGCTCAGTGGCATTCTATAGTTAGCAAACCAATTACAACAACATATTTTAATTATATTAAAGCGGAGGGCTAAAGAAGAGCGCTTCGTTTTCATATAGTAACACATTTTAACACTTCAAAGCTTGATAGTTTATTCATCATTGCTATGTAATATTATTATGTTTTTAACTTTGAGAATAAATGCTGCTAATGCAAAACGACTCTGCTCCACTGCAACTAATGCACCTGAACCAGTTTATATCAGCACAAAAATTGTTTCTTGGTTTCAAACAATACTGTGGCGTTTCTACGTGTGGTTTCGATTATATTTTTACCTGTGGACCACTCTTCCACTGTTCAGCAGCCCCAGGGCCCTCCATAAAAGATTAGGTTTCAATTTCTTGAGGCAGGGCATGCCCAGCCTGGGTGTACTGGCTGAAAGCACTGATCGTTGCACAAGAAAGTGAGGGTGCTGCAGTTTTCGTGCATAAAAATGAGCAGAAGAGCAATCTCAGCTGTATTTTGGGTTGACCGTGATTGGGTGGCTGTGTGGCTGACACACGTGAGATGCTCCCCGTCTGAGATTTCCACTGCTGCATTTACAGTTGCTAGGCCTACTTTGCAGGAAACGTAAAATCCCAGCATTTGGGGGGCTTATTAATCACCCCTTTAGTAAACAAGCCAAAATCGCTTTATTCCCCCGTTAATGGCAGCTTGCTCAGAAGCACTGGCAGATACCAAACCAGCTACTACTGCACCCTGAGCAGATGGCCATGCATTTGCAACACACGCACATATACTGACATCTAATTGCTTTATCCGATCCCAGCAAAACCAGGCCATTCATGCAGTATTTAGATCGCATGCAGCATCTGGAAAGCACGGGCAGCGCCAGTGCTGCTGTGAGCTGGGCGAGCGTCTCCCAGCAACACCGTACGTCGTTACAGCACCGATCCGCTGCTTCATCCCTCACAGGGGACAAACTGGCCTGGGATTGAGCCTTCTCCAGGGGGTCACTGCCATAGAGAGCATTTCAGAGCAAAGCTTTGAGGTTGTCTGCAAACATGGCCACCACATGGCTAAATAAAATCTCTTTTGAAAGCAATTTCCTTCCTTTTCAGAAGGAAATACAAAGAACTGAGAAGACAAGGTTCACTTCTCCTCTCCACGTACCCAAGAGCACAGCAGTGCTGAAGGAGCTCCTGTACGTGGCCAGTGAGCGCTCAGAAGAAAAATGATGCAAAGCTCCAGACAAAAAGTACATTTTGAAAAAGTGCAAGAAGAAAGAGGAGTGCCAGTGAAGGACTGAGCTTTAAAAGAGCTCTGTGAATTTTCACTATGAGATTTAACCCCCCCCCCCCCCCCCCATCCCACCCGGGGGGGGGCTGGCACGGCACTGCCAGCGGTCCCCAGGAGGTCGGGCTGCCGCCTCGGCAGGAGCATCGCTGGGGAGGGAAGAGCAAAGTGCTGCAGTGGTGGCTGGGACGACAGACTAAAAAGGACATCACAGCTAACAGAGAGGCTGGACAAGGGCAATCGCCTGCCTCGTTCTTTAGGACAGAGTAACAGGAACCAGGAGAGACGATACAGGTTCCACACCCGTTTTTAACTAAGGGTGCTGGAGGTTGGCTGCAGAACATGCCACTTCCCCATAATACTTTTAATTTAGCTAATACAGGGAGCAGGAGTAGTGAACACGTGGCAGGTTGCAGTGGCTGAGGCAGCCAGGGACGGTGTCCGGGTCCCCAGCCGGTGCTCAGTCTGTTCCTCTGACTGCAAGAGAAAACCCAGCCTGGGGCCCAGGGCAGCATCTCTAGCCACGCTCTCTGTCAGGACTGCAGCTAAAGTCACAGGGGGGCATTTTTTTTTTTTTATAACCAGCATCTGGCACAAACACAGGGCACAACACAAACTTCTATACATCAACAATCGCTGCGGAAATCCAGACAGGAAATTAAATGACATTTATCTGGGAACACGTGCTTCACCACAGCACGTTGTGTGGCAATTTGCACAAGCCCAGCTCATTTTAACATGGCTGTGTAGGATGGGTACTTTCAAACAACACTATTCAGAAATACCTATATTGTTCATGCCAAATATGTTTGTCAGAAATTAAAATTCCTGGAAATTGCAAGTTTAGCAAATATTACTGAAGTACAGTTACAGTTCTTAAATTTAAGCCAAAATTTGTGCGCCTCGTTTTTAAAGCATAAATAAAATGAGAAAGGAGCTATGGGTCATATGTAGACGGCTGCAGAAAAACTATCATGAGCTGGAAAAAAGCTAAATAAAATAAACTGCTAAATGACACGTTAGCTTTCAGTCCCTGAAATTTTGGAAATAATCAACACAAACATGTATTCAGCATTACTCAGCCCTGGCAAATTATACAAAAGAGCAGTTCCTGAATTTTACCAATGCAATGAAATTAAAATTTTAAAAAGGTAAATCAGAAAACAAACAGATGTTGAAACTGCTCACGGGTTTAGCAGTGCTGTGGGCCACGTTGATGCTTCACATGGAGCAGCTGTCTGGTTTGACAAGAGCCAGGAGCTACCATCGTTCTCTCCTATCATGGTAACAGCAGGACGAAATGGGAAAAGTAGCCGAGGCAGGAGGAGCAGCTGCCACCTGCGCAGAGCTGCTGGTTTCGCTGTACAGCCATCGCGCCCTGACAGCTAAACTGAGTGAAATGTGTGAAATCAACTAAAGGAATAAACAGGGCTTTCCGTTATGCTCAAAATAAGCCTTCGAGGTCTGCATATCTTTTGCCCCAGCTACCAGAGGGATTTCAGTTTCTTTACTACGATCAGCAGTAACGCGGCTTGAGCTTTCACAGCGCGACGGCCTCTGTGGGTGGTCACAGAAAGTTACTGCAGAGCTCGGGCAGCAGGGAGACGGGCATCAGCGTACACTGAGCTGGATGGAAGCCCTGAGCAGCAGCTACTCCATTTCTGCATCGGTATCATGATACGTGCCATAAAAAATTCAAAATGGAATGGAATGGGCCCTGATAATGTAATGAACCCATCGCAAGTGAGTCACTGTATGTGACTGATGATGCAAGGAGTTTATGGCAGATAAAGTGCTGTGAAACAATTCAACATGTACGTGCAGAAAGCTCACAGTAAACGAGTGACTCAAATGAGCCTTCCCCAAATGGCCAAGTAAAGCATTATAGAAGGTAACACGTTACGTTAACCCATCATTTTAGAGCACTACTTTAAATCAGTAACAATTCGTAAGGAAAACTAATAAATTAACTGATCTTAAATTTCCACATCTTTCATACAACTGCATTACAAAACCAGGATTTTTTCAAGGAGACCTAGTAGGTTATGCCAAGGTGCGATGCCTGGGTGAAGGGGATCGAGTGGTCGTTGTATATCTAGATTTTCAAAAAGCCTTTGATGGGGTCCCACCCACAACACAGGTTTGTGACGAAATCCGTTTACTCTGTGGGTTTGTCTGGGTGAGTCCTGGGAACCCCCAGGGGCACCAGTTCCACCCCAACAACCTGTTCCTACGGACACATAGCACGAGTCCTGGGGTGTGAGCGCCCGGCACGCTGTGGCGCTTAAAAACCCCAGGAAGGTGCTTCTGCCGCCGGGCTGCAGCCGGCAGCGAGTCGCTGAGGGTGCTGCCATGGGAACAAGGCTGGAAATTCACCTCAACTGTTTTCTGCTACAATAATTTTGGATTTTCCTTCTCCAGAATCAGTTGCCGTCAGCAGGGTGGGAGGGAGCCCGGCTGACATCGGGACGTGGGAGAGACTGGAGCGCAGCAGGCAGGCGGGCAACCAGACCCCAGCCCTGGCTTCACTGAGTGAGACAGAGTCACGTAGAGTTTCTTTGTCAAATAAGACAATGCACAGAATGTTTACCATAATATTTTTCATTTACTGTATTCAAATATTATGATTAGATATGACAAGAGGAAATTATAGATCACTAATAAACCATGCTTCACGTGAGCAATTACCAGAACGTGTATAAAGAAGCACCAGCCTCACACCTTGCCACGGACTCACCCAAGGCCTGAGGAGGGCCGGCACCACCGGTGCGCGGGGTCAGTCGAGCGCTTGCGATAACCATCCACACAACGATACGTTACTGGGAACCGGATTCTTCTGTTTTACTCCCAGCAAATGCTGATCCCAGTAAAGGTTCAGAAATGCTTCTCTACAAAATATAATGATCAGAATTCTTCCTGCACTTTTAGGTCTTTTTTTTTTGTTTTGGGGTGGGTTTTTTTACATAATTTCTGGTATTTTCTAGGTACCAGAATGGATGAATGTTCATTCAGGACAAACTAGAAGCATTCAGAGCAGTCAACTGAAGTTAGATAGCATTATGCTAAAGTAGGTATCGTACAGTTTAATGATAATTAAAGGCAATTTCCTTTTTTACCTATGATAATAAAAAACAATCAAATATTGGCTCAGAGGGTGGTGAGCAGAGAGCGAAGTGTTTTCTCAACAGCGTTTTTCCCCTCTGTCTCCTCCTCTACTGACTCGTTGTTCAAGATGGAGGTTTAGAGCTCTTCAAAATATTAAGGACAACTTCTACGATATACCTCAGAAGAACGAAGGTACTTTTGGAACAGACAGGTCTCCTCTGCTCCCAGTCCCGTGCACGCCCCAAAAGACGACGGGGGTGACCAGCTGCCTGCTCGTCAGCGCACGGCTGCGGGACGGCCACGTGCCAGGGTAACCGCAGCTCCTGAACGTACGCTACTGGGAAACGATAATCCCCACAGAGCATGCTACACATCTATCATCCCTACGTGAGATTATTTTCCAAATGCCTTGACGGGTCATTTATTTAGAAACTGATTCAAAAGCAAGTTGATGGTCTTTTCCTACACACCAGGCTTTAGGAAAGC